AGTAGGAATATGAACGGAAGAGTGAAATAGGGAAGGAGTCTATGGTCTGCAAAGATGGCAGGTGTTTTCTTTTTCTTTTTAAATTTGTTGTTGCTGTTGTTAGCTGCCGTTGAATCAGCCCCCAAACTGTGGGGACTCCATGCCCAACGGAACAAAATGCTGCCTGGTCCTGCACCATCCCCATGATCAGTTGGGGATAGAACCTGATGATCCATAGAGTTTTCATTGGCTGTTCTCCTTTCAAAATACCAAGAAAGAATGGGGCCTCCAGGCACTTGTGTTATATCTAACTAACTTAATCTTTTTCCTCTTACCAGGAGCCATTTTCTTAGCACATTTCTCTCTTCCCCCTAGATGTCTGTGTTTATAGCAAGCTTAGATCATAGCACTCTTCAAAATAATTAGACAATAATTGACCTAAAGACTGCCTTTTCTTTCTGAGGACCAGATCTTCTTACAATCTGGGAAGGATCAACTACAAAGGGCTCCATTTATAAACAAGGTAGATCAACCATTCTCATATTACAAATACAAAATCAGAAATCATAAGCACTGAGAAAACATATGTACAATATCACAGCTTATGTAAAGCTTTTAGACTCTTCCCAAGTCAATACCTTTATTCTCAAATGATTTTCATCCCTCTTTGTATTTATCCAAATTGGAAATGGCACTTAACATTACACTGTCTTTTATAGAGTCAAAGCACTTAGCAAACTCTAGCATATCTGGTTAAGTTGCTTACAACTCTGTAATCCTATGGATCATCATGATTAGATACAGCTGTAAAAAGAGTAAAACCATATTTCGTGGGTCTTGTTAACTGGCTCCTAGAATAACGAACATGCCATAATAACAGTACTATTAATGTTGTTATTGTTAGCTGCCATCAAGTCGCCCCCAACTCGCGGTGACCCCTTGCACAATGGAATGAAACCCTGCCCAGTCCTGTACCATCCCCATGATCAGCTGTGGATTGAACTGCAATACTGATAATAGCTAACAGTTATTGTTTGTTATGTGCTAGATACTGTGCTAAGCATGTTACATGGATTATCCCAACTTTTATTTCCAATAACTCTATGAGGTAAATAATATGATTATTATATTTTTATGAAAACAACGAGCACCTTCTTAAGTTTGTTTGCCAACCGTGCCCTTCTCCTCCCTCCCTGTATTTTTGTAAGCACACCATGCTAATTTTTTTTTTTTTACAGCAAAATGTAAAAAAAAAAAAAAAAAAAAAAGATTGGCATAGCATCGCTTATGAAAATACCTTCAGGGGGGAGGACACCATTGGCAAACAAACGTAGGAGGTGCGTGTTATTTGCATTAGAATACAATATTCCCATTTTCAGATTAAATGGTGAATAGACTGTTGATCCAGAGCTAAGGAACTGAAAGAGCCAGGAATTCAAGTCAGGCTGTTGGATGCCAGCATCTACAGTCTTCCCCTTTACTCTACTGTCTCACATGGCCCAGCAATAACGTTTGGGAAGAAATGGCCCTTTGACCTAGGCGCGCATACTCAGAACCAGCCCCCAGAGTGACACGCTGGGGTGGTGGTATAGGAAATCAGATTTTTCCAACTTTTCATTCTTCTGGTAACTTTTCTCTAGCTCTTCTGGTGTTAAAGTTAATAAAGGGAACAGCAGCTTTTCAGTGTCCTTTTTAGTTTTCCAATGTCCAGGGGGTTCCCTTGGAGATGGGGACTGTTGGATCACTGAGTCCAGAAACCATTGGTGCAGTGTAGTGTAGAAATCTACAGACATGACAGAACACTGCGCCAGGAAGCCTTGGCTTACCAAGAACAGTACGTGTCACCTGGGCCTGCTCCAGCTTGGGTAAATGATGGAGTGAATGAAAGAACAAGTGGAACAGCCTTCAATGGGAGTAGATACTTTGAGGGTTAGTCGCTTTAGTCTCTAAGGGTCCATTATCACAGTGATAGCTGCTGTACCTGAATACTTAGGGTATTTCTTTTATCCCAAGGGATTTTGGATAAGTTGATTGTTTTTGTGGTACTTCAAATTATCTCAACTATGTAGTGGGGAAAAAAATATTTCCTTCATTCCTCTCCCCAACTATTCCTCTTATAAGTATGAATCATTCTTATTTGGGGTTGAATTAATCACTATAAAATGATGAGAGCAGGTTTGAAAAATATATATTTTTTGTGTATCTGTTATTATTTTTCTTACCTTGGTGGCTCTGTTTTGAGGATGAGGTCACAGATGTACTTGAAGTCTACAACTGTTGGATATCATTGACAGGAATGAATTGTGTAACACTTTTAAATGAACTGACTTTTCTTTCCAAATGGTTCCTGGAATTTTTTCTAATTTACCTTCTTAAAGTTTGATCCTATTGCAGTATTTAGATGGGTAGTCTATTGCGATAGCTTTCTGCATATTTTTAGATATTATCTTGTCCAACCCCCCACCACTTTTTTTTTCTGATTAAGCTTAACTTTTTTTCTGTTTTGCATATTGACTCCTCAAACTGGGTTATTTCCTGGCTCTAGGAGAGTAGGCAGATGTGTTTAAATTGTCAGGTAAGTAATGAGTATTCAGAGTAGAGCACTGCCATATTAGGATTTCTGGACTGGTCTATGAAATTTAAATACCTACATGTCCAGCAATATCTGGTATCAGAAGGTATATGAGAAAAGTCCAACCCCTAGGCTCTGCCCTGAAAGATTTGGAAACATAGCTAACTATGATGAAATTCTAAATTCACAGGTGATGCTCAATAAATATTTACTAAATTGAGAACCCATTTGGGATAAATATCACAGTATGGACTTAGAAATCCTTTTCAATTTTAGAGAATGCAGAGATCAGTATAAGCATAAGTGAGTGAGTTAAACCTTATAGAAAAGATCAGATGCTTGACTGGTGGCTGTATTTTTTTTTAAGTTAGAAAGGCAGGTGGAATATGTATAAGGTAATGGAACATCATAAGCAAAGTCTTAGAATTAGAGATAATAGTACAGGTAGTCCCTGGGTTACAATGTATTCAAGTTATGATGAACTGCACTTACGACTTTTTTTTCTTTTTTCTTTTGGTACACCCTATTGTTAGTAATATGTACTACATACAATGTTGCAGCATGTAATTTGCTGATGTCGTCATATCTGTAAGTTTATATGTAATGTTTCCAACCCCCAAAGACAAATAAAGATCAGATTTGTAAAGATACTGATAATAAAAGGCAATAATAATGAAAACTGAAAAGAAAAAAAAAAAAAGAGGTATTCGACTTAAGACAGAACTGACCTACAACAGAGTCGTTGGGACAGAAACCCCTTATAAGTCAGGGACTACCTGTAGAACATGTAAAGAGCATATTGGCCATGGTACCTTGTCTTAAGGTGTGTGGAGTATAAGGAGAAAACCACAGACTCATGCTTTTTATAATGGGAAATTTTAAAATGAGAATGTTCTGGTTGTTAGCTGCCATTGAGTCAACCCCCAACTCACGATGACACCATGCACAACAGAACGAGGTGCTGCCTGGGATTAGTTGCAGGTTGGACCGTTGTGATCCATATCGTTTTCATTGGCTTGCTTTTGGAAGTAGATTGCCAGACCTTTCTTCCCAGTCTGCCTTAGTCTGGAAGTTCTGCTGAAATCTGTTCAACATCATAGCAACACTCAAGCCTCCACTGACAGATGGGTGGTGGCTGCCCTTGAGGTGCATTGACTGGGAATTGAACCTGGGTCTTCTGCATGGAAGGTCACTGAACCACTGCTGTCCCCCACCCCAGTGAGAAAGGTGACCAAAACAAAAATAGAAGAAAAGGGAGGCCCATGTAATAGAGACCTCAAGAAGCTGTTTCGTGGATCCCTTTAGGGATTATTTTCTTTGTAATGTTCTGAAGCTTATGCTTTGTAATTAGAAAGAATGATTGTTGGCCTTCACCCTGTGATAGAGGAGAGGGCTTGGGCTTCCAGGGAAGGGCAAATGGAAACAGAACATGGGGTTGGCCAATGCTTTAAGCCTACAAGCTGCAACAGCATTGTGCCCTCCAGTGGTGGGCAGTGCCGGCTCACATGACTTCTGATAAGGCAGAAAGGTAATTTAACCAATAAAAGACAAGGTGTTACTGAAAAGCAGAGTTCATGCACCTGATTACTAATTAATCAGGCATGATAGCACCTTGTAGATGCATTCACTATTTAATTATAGCAGCCTCTCTTGGCAAAGGAGCATATGTTCCCAGCTTAATCTACTGGTTTATACTGACATCAAATTGTCATTATCAGAAAGAATCAGGCCTTTTGATTATTTCCACTAATTTATTGAACACTTAAAATTAATGAACCCCAGGCCTTTAAAATGTGCTCAGTTGGTTTGGAAGAGGGGAGGAAAAAGGGGGGTGGAGAAAAGCCTTCATTAAAAGGACAATTTGTTTGGATAAAGGTAGAGCAAATACATTTCATGGGTGATCTGAACTCTGTTGGTGAAAAACGTGAATTCTAAAAAGCTGAGCTTTTGAAATGATGGAGAGGAAGTAGGATACGAGGTGTGCCCTGCTGGCCATGCTTGTCCACCAAAGAACATATGGCTAATGGTTTTATTTTATTTTTCCTGATTATTTGTATGCTGATTCTCTAGGAGACATCACTACAATTAAGTTTAATCAAATGAAAGCAATCAAAATAAAATGTTGGATACCAATAGTTAGACAACTAACAAGGACTTCTTTTCTTTTTAAATAATTTATTTTTGTTGTTGTTGAAAAGAAACACAGCAGAACATATGCCAATTCAACAATTTCTGCGTGTACAATTCAGTGACCTTGATTACGTTCTTCAAGCTGTGCAACCGTTTTCACCCTCCTTTTCTGAACTGTAAGGACTTCAGTTTTTTATTTTGACTATTTCGTTAGGAAGGGGAAAATTTAGCATAAAGCCACCTTCTCGCATGTGGCTATCTTTCATCTTGAGATGTCTTTGCATCACATCTAATTTTTAGTTGTAATTTTTGTGTTCAGTTTCAGGTGAAGGCCAAGTTCAAGTGACTCTCCAGGTGAAGGAAAGTGTGCCCCCAACTATTTCAGGTGAGCATTCACCCACTAGAAGTGCCTAGTACAGCAGACTGTCCTTCAATAGTTCTTCAAATTTCTTCACCACGTCGTTTATAGACAGGCAGGTATCAGTCCTAATGTTTCAATGCCTGCCAACAGTCACTATTGTGTCACCCGTATAGCTAATATATGTGTCTGTAAGTAAGAATTGAAACATGTAAATAAGCACATTTTATAAATTATGGGTCATATGTGCACACAGAAGTTCAGACCTGCAGATAGGCCATTAGGCCCCATCAAATGGAAAGAAAAACTCATGGTGTCTCAACACTTTAATCATTCCTGGTAATTGCAGAAAACCAGGGTAAACAAACCCTCCCCAAAAGTCAGATGGTTCTGTGAAGTCTAGCTCATAAAAGCCAAATTCTCAAAGACTAAATGTCTCATAAGCACCTTCTAATGTATTTCATTTTTTGTTTTTATTTATCCTAAGTCAGTTTAACTATACATTTGCAGCAAGGATGAATCTTTTCAAAGGCTGATTTTTCCTTTGATTTTCAGGGGTACTTTTGCATTATGTCAGAGCAGAGCCTGTGCTAATCAGAAAATGATCTAATTCCTCTGATTAATAAAATCATGAGGTAAAGGTACTGGACTAAAACTATAAACTATAAGTACCGATGGTTACTACTCCATGCTTATGAAGAATGTGATTTTAAGATGATTTTCATAACCGTTTTCTGAGCTGTCATAGGACTTTGCTCTTTATGCCCTCTGCCCTTTATCCTCCTTTTCCTTTATAGTGGCTCCAATTTTATTGCGTATTGAGTGCCTCTTGTGTGAGGCTGGGCAGTATCGTGGTGACCAAGATGGAATGGTCTTTGACTTCATAGAGTCTTATGGTCTCCTGGGGATGTCAATCAAATGACTAACTAATCAATTAACAAATTTCCTTTATAATAGCTGTTACCAAGAAAAAGTACCCTATAATTCTCTCTTTTTTGAAAATGCTGCATTCAAATTCCATAGAAGAGATTGAACTGGTTAGGTCAGTCCCCATCTGGTAGAGAACAAAACTGTTGTGGAGGCTGTCATGCCAGGCCCCGTCAGAGAACACTAGATCATCCATTAGTGACTGTTCCTGATTCAACCACGGTGGCACCATCACTCAGCATTTAGTTTGAAGATTTCTGTATAAAGAGTTCCTTGAAAGGACAGACACTTTGGGTGGCCAGTGTCCATGACTTTCTAGAAGGGGCCAGGTTAATTGGGAGATACTTCCCTTGGCCTGTCAATTACAGCATGCTAAATAAATAGAAAGCTGATGGATGCTTCATAGATTTGTAGCATTTTAACAAAGAAAGAATCTCACAGGCCATCTTATTCAATGGCCTCATTTTACAAATGTGGACATGGAGGCCTAGAGGTTAAATAGTTTACTTAGTCACATCAGTAGTCAGTGATTGAGCCTGCATTAGAGTTTAGGTTTTCCAGCTTAGTCCAGTGTTCTCTCTGCTACCATGTAGTCTCTACAGTGTTTAAATTACCTCTTTTTTTTTTTTGGTATATATTAATTTATGTATTAGATTAAAATCAATTATAATATAGCCAGTCTTCCTAGAGTAATATAGAAAATGATTCCAAAACACAGGGAATCAACAGAATTAGTATATTAGCATCTATCGGGAAGAAATTTCAAATATTAACATAATTGCAAAACATTGCTTGATTCTCATGGTATGGGATACATTTTGTGCTAATGTCAAAGGTTAAATATGTATATTTTGTTTACTGAAGAACTCTATGGAAAACAGTAAAATGGCAATGACAAAAATTTGGACTAAAACAAGAATGGAATGATTAACAGAGCTCTATCCATATGTGAGGAAACCCTGGTGGTGCAGTGGTTGAGCTCAGGCTGCTAACCAAAAAGTCGGCAGTTTAAATCCACCAGGTGCACCTTGGAAACCCTTTGGGGCAGTTCTACTCTGTCCTATAGGGTCGCTTTGAGTTGGAATTGACTTGACAGCGACGGGCTTGGTTTTGGTTGGGTATCCATATATGATACTGAGCAGTCCCCATTGGAAATGATTAGATTTAGGTTTCGTTCTCTGATGGAGAGGCCAGCAGAATGGTTGAATAGAAAATGCCATTAGCTCATCAGAAGTAGAATCAATAAAAACCAGTTGGAACATAACTGTATGTAACTTACAGCAATGAGAGATGTTAAGATTGCTACCCTGTCTTTAATATGTGTTAAGAGTTGTAAGAAGATCATACGCTTTGATGCAGTAATTCCATTGTTCAGGATCTATTTTAAGAAAATGATCAGGATTATCAGCAGGTTCACATAAAGATATTTGACACCACATTATTTATAATTGAAAAGGAAGTGAAAAGAGCCTGACTGCTGAACATTAGAGATTAAATAAATTATGGCCTTGTTGTATGATAGAATATTACATAACCATTGAAATTACGGATATAAGGAATTTTAATGACATTAGAAAATGCGTATGAAAAACTGCTAAGCTAAGCAAAAAGAGAACTGGATGTAAAAGTACATATATGATATAATCTCAGTTATGTAAAAATGCTGAGAAATTCTGGAAAGATATGCAATGAAAGGTTAATAGCAGTTATCTCTAGGTGGTGAGATTATGGACGATTATTATTTTTCTTTCTCTTTATTTGCATATTCCAAATATTTCACGGTAAGCATATGTGATATTTATAATTGGATAAAACATAAATGTTTAATAAAAAAAGTAGGATATATTTTTCATTTAAGTGGAGATAATCTATGAATTGAATAATTACTTTCTTTCTACTTAATAAGAGAGGCTTATAGTATAGCAAAAGGCAGCTACCTTGGTAGGTGAAATTATAACCAGCATCTTAAAATAAGGATAGAATTTGGAAGTTATCATAGCAAATTAGATTTTCATAGTTACCCTCTCATTTTCCTTTTGTTTTGTAGTTTCTACCTCTGCACCTGAATCAGCTTTAAAATGGTCCCACCCTGAAACCTGGCAAGGGCTTGAAGAAGGCTGGGGAGGATACAGCAATACCATTCCAGGCGCTGGGGATGATGTCTTGATTTTACCCAGTGAGTAAAAGAACCCATGTGATTAAATAATCACAGGCAGCCTGAACCAGAACCAATCTGACTGGGGATTATCTTTCATTTAAATGTATTGCAAAATATAGTAAAGACTAAGCAAATGCATAAACACTTATGTCTACAAACCTCTATTTCTGGGTTAATGTTTGAGAAGAATTTCATAGACCGGTGAAATCCAGAAAAAAATAGCCCAGCTTCCCTTCATTAAAGGTGGAGTAAATAGTCACTGTGTCGAAAGGAGTTAGAATAGTCCATTAACTGGATAATTTTTCTTCATGTGTCAGCGAACAGGTTTACAGCAACTTCTAGTGTCCTCATGTGTGAAACACACAGAGGGTATGAAGGAAGCAACTTGAAAATGTCTCCATATCTTTTGCCTTTAAGAATCCTTTACATATAGGACTAAGGGAAAATGACAAATAAACTCCTCTATTGACATGATAAGGAGTCCTGGAGGTACAGTAAAGCATTTGGCTGCTAACTAAAAGGCTGGTGGTTTGAAATCACTCAGCGACTTCATGGGAGAAAGATCTGGTGATCTTCTCCCTATGATTGCAGCCTAGAAAACCCTATGGGGAAGTTCTTCTCTGTCACATGTGGTTGCTATGAGTTGAAATTGACCCAATGGCGCCTAATAGCAACAATTGCAATGATTTTTCAAAGGTTCTAGAAAAGGAACAGATTAATAAAATCTATCCGTCTAGCTATCCATCCATCCATCCATCCATCTATCTACTTACCTACCTATCTAGAACTCTCTCCCTGTATGCATGCATAGTGGAAAAAAGATGTTTGCTTGATATATAGGAACACTTACCCATACTCATGAAATTCTTTTTCCTTGAAAGTTCTTGAAACTCTCATAAAATCTCCCTAGCCCAAGAAGAAAATGATGTCCATAGAATAAATATATGCATCCCAAAATATCTAATTCCATTTATGGTTTAACTTGAACCTCTTTAGATAATACTGAATAAAAGAGGGACTATAATAGAAGAATATTTGGGCATCTGTGAAGTGACAAATATCTACTGAGAATTGGCAATGTTCTGGGAGACCTTTGTTCTCCATGTATTAATTAATTTAATCCTCACAATAATCCTATGATGTAAATAATATTATTATCCCCACTTTTACAGACAGAAAAACAGAAGCCCAGGACAGTTAAGTAACTTGCCCAGGGTCACACAGCTTCCAATTTGGCAGAGTCAGTATTTAGCTCAGGCAGTTTGGTTCCACTAAACTACTAAAGTGCATTCCCTTTCTAAAGAACTAAGAGTAATTAAAAGAGAGTAATGGCACTGTTGGTTTTATTTAAAATGGAGAATGAAGGCAGAATGAACAAAACATACTAACTACCTTCTGAAAATTGATGGTGTGTCCTTATAACTGTACATGCAGAGATGAGGCACAGGAGGGTGTCAGTTGACCAATATGAATTTCAACTATTATTATCATCCAGCTCCCCATCACCCTTCTCCCAACAGAGGATGTTATTTTTTGAATAAACAAGCTCATGAGTCATTCATATACGGAAAGGAGAAATCTGTTCTGCCTCAGTCATCTCTTTGATGAATCTTGCCAGTGGATTGACCCTGGGCTATGGTTTTTCCCACTAAGCAAGCTGTTTCTCCCATCCCATGCAGGAAGCAAGAGAAGCTTTTGAAGGTTGCCAAGCTTTCGGTATCCTTTGGGGCTTTTATGCCAAGTGAGCGAGGAACAAGCTTAGCCATCTCACTTGGCACTGCAGCTGACTGTACTGTGTGTCCTGGTTCTTGGGAGCCCCTAGCATCCCCCATCATTCTTCATTCGGTTGTTCACGGTTAGCTTATAAGATAGGTCCCGATTCTTCATGAAGCTGCTCTTAAATAGCACAAATCAGTATGCTGGAAAAAAAAGTTGGGCACAGGCATTGGAAGTATAAGGTATCTTCCAATCGATCCTTTTATGTTATTGTGAGACTCAGAGAAGTTCACATTTTTAAAACAAACAGTTATCGCTCATTATTTTTGTTTTCAAGTGGAAACTCACTGAGTGAAAACAGATACATAATATGTAATATATAATAAATGAATTCCTTGTTCTTTGCCCATGGCCTCTCACCTCTTCCCTAATAAGCCCTCTTCTAAATCCAGCAAATTTCTTTATATTGTCCAGCACTTTAATCCCTTTTTCTGTTCAGTTTTGTGTCTTACATAGGAGCTAATCTGGCTTACTTTTCCTTTCTGATTTTTCGCCAGCTCTTACTGATATTTTGACCCCTGATGAACCTTTGTGTTGACTCTACCATCTATCTCTCCTTTTGTTTTGCTTCTCTCTGCACTCTAGACCTTTTCCTGATTTCCCTTGGTTCTTTCATTCCCCGACTTCATTGACTCAGGTTGGTGCATTCACCTGAGTCCGGCACAAAATAAACTCTCAGTAAGTATTGCTTGAATAAAGTGCACAACCTCAATGCTGCCATCCATGATTTAATACTGGGAATAAATCCTTGATTTTGACACCATATAGCTATAAGATTTTACAGGTCTGTGGAAAAGAATATCTTAACCTTTGAACAGATTCCTAAGAATTGCGATGTGGTTTTTTATAATGATGATAATGATGGTAGTTGTGACCGTGTTTTGAGTGATGGGTATGTGCCATGGATCGTGCTAAGTGCTCTACATGGATTTTCTTGTTTAATTCCTACAATAACCCTCCAAGCAGATCCTGTCATTATCCCTGTTTTCACACATGAGGAATCTGAGACACAGAGAGGTAATATAACTTGTGCAACTTTCACCCAGCTAGTAAGTAAAGAAGCTGGGGCAGACACTCAGACCATTTGATTCCAGAGTCCTATCTTTTTACTGTATCTTTTTTATAACCCACCCTCCATGCCCACCCAGATCCATCCAAATCAGGCTACACATTATACTGAATTTATACTTCTCTGCCTACTTGTCTCATCATTCCTTTCACTTTGGAATAATAATAATAATAAATCTATTTTTCTGAGTACCTTCTGTGTGTCAGAAACTCTGAGATATTCAGTCTTACCACATCTCCATTAGCTATACATTTGTGGAAAAACTGGAGAAACTTCCCAAAGAGTTATCTGATACAGTGAACCATTGGTAAAAGCATTTGCTTTGTATCTGATAGCAGATGTAGTTGTAATTCAAATTAACACGCCTTTTCCAATTCAGTTTAGCAATATTTACCAAACATGCATTGTTTTCAAGGCACTGTACCAGGTGCTCATGATCTGGGGATCCAATGGCAAGTAAGGAACAGCTGTGACCTCAAACAGCTGGTGATCTAGAAAGGTTAATAAAACACATACTGCACAATACATAATAACATAGCAAATAGCTGTAATAAAAGGCAGGATATGTATAGAATCAGAGTGTCTCAGGTGAGTATAGGAGAGATTTCTACATGGAGGAAGAGGCATTTGAAATGAACTTTAAAAGACAGGGTAAGTTTTGAGGGACAATTATGAGGCAGAAGAACATACTGGGAAATTAGTGGTGCTTCAGTGAATAAAGGATGGGCTGTGGAATAGATAGACCTGAATTCACATTTGAATTCCGACATTCACCAACTGTGTGACGTTGGACATGTTTTAGAACTTTCTGACCCTCATCTATAACATGAGGTCTATAATTAATATTTCATAATGTTGAGAAATTAAATGATGTAACATCAGTACACGTGACCACTGCATAGATTATTGGCGGTAATGGAATTATAGATGAAAGCAGTAACTTTTAATGTATCAGTCTCTCTTTTCCTTCATTTTCTCATCTGACTGCCCCTCTTGGCCTCTGGTATTAGCAGCACTTTGTATTTTCTTTCCAATGGCTTATTATTTAATTTTCACAACATCCTTGGGAGCTAAATAGGTAATAACTATTATTACAGTAAAAACCCATCTTTACATAATATGATTTTAATGGAACAGCTGATTTTACAAAATGAAAGTGACTGGTAAAGAAGATTTAAGTGATACTTTTGAACCTCTAATATAATTTTATGGTGTTTTGTGTGTTTTAATTCATTAATAAAGGAAAAGTGTAGAACATTCCCATCATTATTCAAATAGAATAGCATAATTTTTCAATAAAATTCTTAGGGTAAATTGCCTATTTCCATTTTGTGGAAAATCAATTTTATGGAATAACCTGACTCATCCTATTCCATAAACATAGGACTTTACTAATAAAAGATAGCACTATCTTAAGTATGGTACCATTTTCCTTCAAGGTGTTCTTTCTTTATAGACATTGGGTTTTGAAAAACTGTAAATTCTTCTCTGTGGTATTATATGGAATAAGCTGAGGTAATCATGAAGAATTTGCTTTTGTAGTTTAGTTTATGATAACTTTACGTCACACAAACAAGAATATCTAACCTTCTTTGCCTTCTAGATATTGGGAGTATGGAGCTAAATGCATTCTAGACATTTCAAGGAGTAGGAACCAGGTCTATCTGACTTACTATGTAAATCTCAAACCTTCATAAAGCAAAGCTCGTAAACTGGCAAAATGATCCCGCTAGCTTCTATTCAACTGACATGAGACGATGTGGGTAAGATGCTTCCAGTGCTTTCTCTGAAGGAGTTTCAGCCTTGGCAGAATGACACCCTTTTCATACAACGCAGGCTTAATGGAAGGAAAATGTGTTATAATTCCAAATGGATTCTATTTTTGAAAAGTACAGATATGATATCATGTAGCCTCCAGATTTTTTTTTTCATGGTGAAATTCACTGTGTTTCGTTTCTGTGTTACTTAGAACCGTCCTTATTTGAAGAGATGAATGGGAGCATATTTTTTGTTTACAATAGTTTTTCTGTTTGTTCTGATTTCAATACTTGGATACTTTAAATGGCAGAGAGGCTCATCAAAGCCATGTGATGTTCAATGATGGAATATTTAACACATATCCTTATTAATATGTGAAGCATTATAGTTGGTGATATGAGGTAAGATGGTCATA